TATTTTGGCCAAAATTATGTTAATTTTGGCCGAAATTACGGAATCGGACCTTAATTTCCGCAATTGTCCGCAATATCGTAAATCGCAATTATTCTGCAATTGCCTATTTGCGGACCCATCCTTAGTCTTAACGTCTCATCTAATACTACGTACTGAAAATAAAAAAAAATAAAAAAAATAAACATGTTAAAATAGTAACAAATAGCATAAAAATATGCATGATGATCAGGTATGACATAGATTTAACAGGACTGGAAAAACTCTATTGAATGTTATACCAGCACTATAATTCAAAAAATACCTTAAAATATATAAATGTTACCGCTTACCATCAGCATTTAAAATCAAAAATAAAATTATATATATGTATATATGTATTTTAAAACACCAATGTGTGACATTATATAAAAATAAAAAAAATATATTTTTGAATGAGCGGAATTTTAAAATATTGTGCATGCCACACACACACATTAAATTTCAAACACTGCTCACCATCTGATTGCATTAATAATAAAGAAAAAAGGTGTTACATATGCTACTATTTTGATGAATCTAACCAATTATATGTCAAATTCGCAAAAATAAGATCGGATGTCCGGCTTGGAGGGGACCTTTAATATAGATTTCCGGTCCTGACTTAAAAGTCCTACGCTACGCTTTGGACAATTATAAATAAAGTGTATATTTATTTAAATATAAAAAAAAATTCGTATTTAAAATTAAAGTTTTTATTGATTAACTTTAAAAAGATCGTCGTCACATGATCGACATCAATTTCAATAATTTCGAAAATTTACAGCGGTGCTGCTTTTTCGGTTTTTTTTCTTTTCATTTCTTTTGCCTGTGCTTTTACATATTTCATATAGTTAGTATTTGTTTTATGTTGGTTAAAAAAAAAATTCTTTAACTTTAGATGATCACGTGAATTATATCTTAACTAAACGCGAATTTTGTTATAACAAAAGTGGCTTCAATCTTTTTATTTAGGATTTCAATAAATTATTCTACTTATTTCAAATTTAAAATACATATATATACATAACAAAAGAAAAAAAAAGTTACTTGTCGATTTTAACATTCTTAATAATATAAGAAACATTATTTTCAAACCATTCTTTAGTATTAATTTTCATTCTAAATTCACTTTTAATTTGTACCAAGTAAATCTTGCTATACAACCACCAAATAGGCCAAAAAATTATCCAAAGACAAGTTAAAAAACCAAATAATTTTATCCACTTATTTTTTGTGATATTATAAAATATTGAAGTCGATTGTACTTTAACTATATTGTTACGTAATGGATAATGAATTTTAATATTATTATAATAAGTTTGTTGTCTGATTACTTGTGCTATCGCCTTTGTTAACTTTTCGAAATCCCAAATTATGACCTATTTGGCATCAAAAATAAATAAATAAATAAATGAATAAATTAAAAACAAGAAGGAAATTTCTTCACTTTAAAACAGAAAAAACTCACCTTCCTCATCTCGATTTCTTTAGATCTGTTATTATTTTTACAATATTCTTCTAACACTTGGTTGATATCTTTACCTTCTTTGATATCGTAATCATCGTCATCTTTTGACGGAATTGTATTAATCTCACCTTTCGGTAAAATATGATCAGACAAGTCTATTGTAAAATCGAAATCAGTTACTTCTACGACATCTACATCATTTTTCTCATAATCATAACTATTACTTCCGTTTACCACTCGTATCGTTCCATCTTTTTCTTCAGTGTGATATCCTAAGGGGTGTCAATTCCAAAAAAAAAGAGGAGATCGTTAGGAGGCAAAACTAGTTTTTTAACTCGCATCTTGAAACATTTACCGTGAATTGTTATGGACATTTCGGGTTTATCGTTGTGCGACATAAAGAATTTATATAATTCTTTTGAATCATTATTTAATTTCGAGTCTTTACTGTATATTCCAAATTCATTTTTCTTTAATTTAAATTTATCATTCGTCAATGTTTGAGAGGTTTTTATAGCACTCTTGTCATCATTTTTTCCCGAAAATTTATTAAAATAATCATCAATTCCATTAGAATTTTTGGTTTTTGTGCCATACAAATTAGGCGATGTAACAGGAGATTCTTTATTCTTCTTTTCATCATGTACAGAAACTTCTTCTAATTGTATGTTAGCAGATCTTGCAATAGGATTAATTATAGATAAACTAGCAGAGTGAGATACACGTAAAGCATCGTCATAATTTAATTGACGAATCGTTTGTGTTGGTAATGATAATGTTGAAGTTTCTGATGAAGGAGAAGTTCCACCACCTAAATCAGGATGATTGAACAATGTTGACCAAGATTTTGATGAACTTGGTCTTACTGCATCACTTTCAGCGAATAGATAATTATAATCTGCTTGAATTTCTTTTTCCATATTTGAATTAAAAAAAAAAAAGAATTTATTAATCGCGAAAGATAGAAATGGCGAATTTTACGTTGGCGGGCTAAAGCTTTTTTTACTCCAACTATACTTCGCCACATCTCTTTAATATGGCTGTGAAGCGTCATGTGATTGGACCTTGTTGATAATCAAAAGGTCGCTCCGTAATTTGAGGCAGTGCTTAATTATTAATAGTGAGTATAACAAATTGTCAAAGCCTTACGGGAGCAAACGCGTTATTATAATTATAATAATTAATAAATTATTAAGGAATAAATAGCATGCTTATCTCTCTCAATCGAATTTGTTAATTTAATTTAATGTATTGGATTTTTTTTTTTACTTTTTTTCTTTCCTAAAAACGCATTTTTGTTTTAATGCAAAATTTTGTGAAAAAACGGATATCACGTACTAGACAACGAGTGGTATAGGAGGGTGGCTTAATCGATTATGATTGTCATAAATATAAATATCAATATATATCGCGTGTTTATAATTTCTCTTTTTGTGTCGATTTCACTAATTAAAAATCATATAATTTTTGAAAAGGTTTGTTAGAGACAAGCCGGTCTTTTATTCATGCATAGACTGATTTAGTCAGTGCTCTACGGTATTTTTTTAAAAATAAATTATTGCTTTCATTTTTCCTTTCTTTAATTGTCCGAGATATTTGAACCGAAAATTCAATTACGGACGAGCGCACGCTCAAATTTTATATTTCCGCATGGTACATTTTATGTAATGCCGCACAAATCATTATATTTTCAGCACAAAAATGGAATGAACAATGTTCGTGGCATGGGACCTTAATATGATAACGTCGGATCCCTTATTTGGGCGTAACTTTGTATTACATTATTGATCACAGATCATATGATTATATCCGAATTAGAAGTTAAAAGTATTTAAAGCAAATAATTACACCAATATCGTAGAGTCCATCTTTTTCTTCCTCTAACCATTCAAAACAAAAAAAAAAAAACAAAAAAAATGATAAATGATAATTCGGATTATGAATTTATATTTACAGCAGCAGATGCTAGAAGACAACAAAGACGAACAGGTGTAAGAAGTTATTCATCATTATCATGGTCACAGATATTTAATCCATCATCATATTATACAAGAAACGGTGTAAATTCTGATGGAGGAAGAAATGGATATAATAATATAGACTTGACAAATACAAATAATACCCCTTCGAGTCCTTTTTTAGATAATAATCATCATTCGAATAGACAATCATCTTCTAATGCTCAACCACCAAGTTATGAAGAAGCTATTCAACGATCACTAAATCCTTCTACTGTCAATATCGCACCTTTAGCTCGATCTACTATCAATTATCAACCGTTAAATCGAGTGGTCATCTCAGATGATGAATCACAACCTTTACTCTCTAATTCTGAAAATGTCGTTCATGAAGAACCTAACCGCATAGATGATAATCATAATAATAAATTAATTGACGTAATTTCCGAAGAAGAAATTCAAAATTATAATAGTTCGAATTTAGGGGGACCTTCTTCTTCCTCTTCTTTAGGTGTACCTTTAACTAATTTATCTTCATCAAATGAAAGATCAATTCCACAGGGGTTTGGAGTTTATGGTGAGAATGATGGAATTCCTCCACCACCTGAATATACTTTATCTGATGCAACTTATGAAAGAAATATCAATGGGATTACAAGTCATGATCCTAAATTAAATAGCGAGCCTGAATCTTTATTAAGATTTTTTATGGAGCATAATGATAAACCTGAAATGGCTATCAAAATTCACGGTAATTGTAAAAACAATCTTTCAAATGGATTATCATCATAATCATCATCGTTTTTTTTAATTAAAAACCATCTTGTTCCTTTGTTCCTATAGGATATCATATGGAAACTCAAGACGATAGTTACACGAGTACGGATTCTGATGGTAACACGACAGTTCATTATCAAACAAGAACTGTTGAAGTGACGGATTTTAATTTTACCTTTGATTTATCTGAACATGTTTCAATCAATGGTATAATTCATACCATACCAAATAAACTTAATAAACGAAAAGATGTTATGGAACTATTAAATGAATATGTTAAACATGGTAATCGGTTAAAAAATATTGAAATGAAAAAGGTATGTAACTTTTGAAGGTTGTTTCTATTTACAAAGTGAAACCAGATTTGTAACTCCTTTTTTAATACAAAAAATTATTACAGGTTGTAATTTGGGATTATGAATCATTAACAAAAGCGATATCAACAGTTATAAGACAGCAAGGTTATCGCAACGATTTACGCATAACGTTTCCGTTACGTAATCATATTATACGCGTAGAATCTGATCATAAATTTGCTAGATTTACTAGAAATATTTGGACAAAAATTTTATGTTTTATAACATGTTTATGGATAATTTTTTATCCTATACTTTGGTTATATAGAAATAGTTTTAAAAATCAAATTAGAAGTAATTTTTTTATGCATGTTAGCGAAAGGGATTGGTTTGATAGAAATGTAGATTCTATTGTCGCTAATGTTAGATGGTTATAACGTAAAACGAAAAGGTGATTTCTTATAGATTATTTATATACAATAAACATTAAATATTTAAATTTTTATTTTATTTTATTTCAATTAAATAAACCGATAAATTAGCACGCTATCTCTTGTCTTTTCTTTCTTCTTTCATTTCATCTACAATTTGGTTAACATCATATACTAAGAAAGAAAGAATAAATAAATAAATGATGAACTTTTTTTTTTTTTTATAAAAATAAATTAGATAAAAAATAAGAAAAAATAGTTATAATAAAATAATTAACTTGTTTTGTTGGTTTCTGCCGCTCTTTTTAATATTTCCATTAATTGTTCATTCTTTTTACGTGTTTCAGGAGATTTAACTTGCTCTTGAAGATCAGGTGATAATTTCTATAATATTCGTTTTAAAACAAAAAAAATCATTTAAACACACGAATAATAAAATTAATGGGTAAATACCTCACTACTAACCTTATACAATTCATTTGGATCTGGTGCCGTGGTTTTCATTAACCAATATCCTAATCCGAAAATCAATCCTCCGCCTATTAAAGCTTTTACATATGCTGACATTTTTGATTATGATTTTAAACGTAAAAAAAAGCGATTTGAGATTTAATAATTTTTATTTTGTGAAACGATTTATTACCCAAATGTCATTGGTTGATTTGTTCTTTTTGATCGTTTTCGATTTTTAACCAATCATTATCTCTTATTTCTTGTGGTTTCCGTCATGCAATTCATAAGGTGAAAAAAAAGGAATCTTTTGCTAATATTATTAAAATAAATTTAAGGTGGTCATTTTCGGCACATTAAAATCAAACCCCGTTTATAACGTGTTTTTACGTGTTTTTTTTTTCCCAAGTATTTTACTTTATTTCTAAGATTAAAGAAAATAAATTTACAAATAAATAAATAAAAAAATTCTACAAAAATGTTGTTACAAAAAAAAATAAAAAAGTTATCTACAAGTTAATTTCTAAGAAAAGTACGTATAAATTTGATTTGTATCATAAAAATTATTTATTAAATGTCTCATTAAATGTCTTTTTATATATTATTTGATGAAGTTTCTGCTTCTTGTGATTGACGTTGACTTGAAAAGGATAATTCCTGATGTTCGGTTATATTCGGATTGTCATTCTCTTTCATATCTTGACCAATATGATTTGAATCGTTATTATAAAAGATTGAATCAAATCCTACGTCAATACTTTCAATAATCTCAACATCATTTTTTTCGGTTTCAATTTTATCACCACCAATTCCGATATTAACCGCCCTTCCAACTGTAAGATTTCCTTTGATTTCACGTCCTTCCTCAATAATATGATCAATCAACTTTTCATCTTTTTCAATTCTCTGATAGATATCTACATCACAAGGTAACACGACGCTCTTTACCACCTTCACCAAATAATTGGGTATTAAAGCTAAACTAGAAGTTATCAAGATAGTAAACCAATAATCCCATCTGATTCCAATTTGTTGAAATACGCCTTTAACGTCATAAGCATCCGTTTTTGTTTCTTCAGGATATAAGTAACTATAAATTGTTTGATATAAAAACCATCCAAATAATGTTAAGAATGATGTTAAATGCGTAACATAAGTACAATTATGACATTCTAAATATGCCACTTTCAATGTTACGACAAATACAACGCACGTATATGCGATCAACCCCAATTCATAAAGTTGTGGGGATCCGACTGCTTTTACTTCATAATGAATAAAGGTTTCATGCAGAAAGAATGGCATCAAAACGATTACAAACGCGTGATATATTCCCGCGCACATCCATGAGAAAAAAATTTTTAAATTGAATGCCGAATTTAATTGTCCCATTGTACGATATAATTCTGGAACTCCGATTAATGTCTTTCTATTTAGGTCTTGTTCAAATATGCCAATGACCATTACCGGTAACGAGGAGAATAATGTATTATATGCCGCAAGTGTCCAATGTTCATATAAACTAGTACCAGAAAATCCGGTGAAAAATTGAAATATACCCTGTGTAAGATAAAAGCACATGCATTTATAAAAGGTACCTAGCACAAATTTTGAAACTCGAATGTAAGACCACCGTCCATGAATGAACAATAATGTAGTCAAGAAACGAAATTGTGCTATTGAATAATCGCTTGATCTTGCCGCTTGTAAACCTTCTCGACCGGTTATTCCAATTCCAACGTGTGCTTCTTGAATCATCGCGATGTCATTTGCCCCATCTCCTATTGCTAACGTGACGGCATCGGTTAATTTCTCCCTAATCTTACGAACAACGAGGGCTTTTTGACTTGGACTTACGCGACAGCAAATAACAGCCTCACATAATACCCCTAATTTTAAGAATAAATCCATAAGTTCGGGATTTTGTTCAATGATCATCAAAGTGTTTCCATCCACGATCGTCACCGAATGACTGATTTTGCTCTTGTGAATATCTTTTAGTGTACTTTGTAATGTCTTTTTTAAATCCAAATTCGAATCCACAATAATCGTGGTTGAATATTCTTTAATCAACGAACATGAATATCCGATATTAATTGCTGTCTCGCGTTTATCACCTGTCAACATCCAGATTTTTATTCCAGCTTTACGTAATTTATCAATCGCTTCAGGTACCCCGTTTTGTAATTTATCCTCAATGGCCGTCGCCCCTGTAATCTCTAAATCACGTTCGATCAATTCAGCTATTTCCTCAAGTTTTTGCTGTCTATCAACTAATGAAACGGATGCTTCTTGATATAATTTACTCCAAACGGCGTATTCATCTTGATTAATAAATCTATGCCCATAAAGTAATGTTCTAAGTCCTTCCGTTGAAAATTCTTGAATATCACGAATGGTTTTGCTGTATAACCATTTATCATTTCTAATTGGAAATAAATCTATCACATGATCTCGATTCGTACTTTCAACAAATAACTTTTTATTCGTCGGTTTGTTTCTAGGATGCCTCAATCGTTCAAGTATAACATTGTCCGCCCCTTTACAAAGCAAACATATTCTTCCATCGGGTAATTGATAAATGATGGACATTCTCTTTCGTTTGCTTGAAAATTCAAGAACATTCAGGATATGATGATCTTCATAAGCGATACAATTCTTATCAGGAACTTCATCAGGTTCGTCATCATCGATAATTCGAAGGGATACAACGCCCAGAGTACGGTCTGAAACGATGTAACCAAGTTCTTTTGCCGCAGTGACTATGGCAAATTCATCTGGCGAAGCAGATTGATAACATATTTCTTGAGAGTCCAAACCTATTACTTCAGGGACGCATGTGTGACAAAGGGCCATAGCGAGCAAAAAGAATCTCGCCCTCTCTCCAAAAGGGGTATTAAATTGATGCCGAATTATGGTCAATAAATCAAGTGTGGACGGTATCGATTTATTTGACAATAACTTTTGAGAATTCAATGAACTACATCTACTACGTGATGAATCAGGTGAACGAGGGGCAATCATTGAAAAGGTACTAGCAGCCGAATTTTTCCTACATAATAATGTATCAATTTGAATGTTTCTCCCCTCATTATTTTCACCCGAAATGTGACCTGATTGTTTATGGCGATTGTACAACGATGCGACTGAAGATAAAGTTACTTGTTTTCGAGGTTTTTGAAACTTTGATAATAAATCATCTTCATTAATTCGACGAGTATTCAAATCGTGCAAGAAAGATCTCCCACCAACACTTAACTTTCTAAATAACATGATATTATCCGTCAAAGTTCCAGTTTTATCAGAAAATAAATAATTGACTTGTCCCAATTCCTCATTAATCGTGCAAGTATGAGCTTCGGCAGGGGTATTAGTCTCTTCATGATACATATCTAAATCATTGTTTATAAAGTAAACCTGAGCTAATTTGACAAATTCCATGGTAACATATAAAGATATTGGGATCATGGTGTTAAAAAGAATGATAAACGCGAAAAATATGGTAACATAATTCTTCGAATATTTTCCCAGGTACAAGGTGTGATTTTTAGAATTATTCAACCAAGTTTTGGCCAGGATCGTATTAATCGTCGCCAAAAACAATACGAAACAGAAGATTATGATGACAACACGATTTATCAATCGTTGTATATTAGGGGCTTTGGTGCGAATATTTTTTGTCGCGTTCATTCGTAATTTTGTTTCTTCCCCCGTATAGGTAACTAATCCATAAATTTCGGGAGTGTTCCGCAATATGGTACCCCTCAACAAAATTTGGTTATTAGTTAATTGACTAGTCTTTCCATCAAATTCAATCGATCCTTCAAAATTATATAAATCTTGATTAGGATTCTCGGTTTTGACATTGCCTATAAATTTAACGAGTCAATATTAAGATTATACCAATGAAAAAAAAAAGTAAAAATATAAAAAAAAAAATACCCGAAAAATTGGCAAGAGCCTCAGGTGAAGTTAATAAATAATTTACTTCTTTCAATGCTTGCCTTTGTTTTAAATTAGTTTCTCCATCTAACGCAGCAGTCTCAATATAACATATTCCTTCCTCACCTTCTGAATGAAGCAAAAATAAATCTGCTGGAATCCATTCTTGAGCTTTGATTGAAACGATATCTCCAACCCGTAAATTCTTCCATTTTGTTTTAATCCATAAACTCATCCGCTGAGACGCGGCATCATTTGATCGATATACGTGTAACACTAAACATTCTTTATTATTCTCATCTTTGTCTTGTTTATGTCTTCGAATGTCATCAAATCCCTCACGAGCCATGGATATGGACATAAAAGTTGATAATGGAATTAAAGTTGTAAATTGACCAGTAGGTGACCATCCGGGAATTGCTTGGATAGCCGCCACAAATAAGAAATAAACGTTAGCAACTTTTGAAAATTGAGCGTAAAGTTGCTTTGGAAAAAAATCATAAAACGTATAACGTGATGTTGTAATCGCATTCTTAATAAAAGGTTTATTTGTTCTCGGGTCTAAAAGAGGTTCCTTACGTTCAGGTATTATAGGGATTTCTCGAAATGAAGTTTCGGAACAATGTCCGTATATTAACGTTCTTAATTGTCTTTTTAATATGTGAAATATCCATTTTATAAAATTTTGTGAATTCTTCTCGTTCACTTGATCTAACGAATTCATACTTAATTTTGTAATATTTGAAGGTTTATTAGGATTATTTGAACTTAAGGAACAATTTGAAATTTTATCAGACGTTCGTTTGCCAAGATATTCAAGGTATTTCTCTTCGGCAAAGTCTTGGCATTGTAGTGTTTCAACAGCATTATTATCAAATTGCGAAGTAATTCTATCTAACGTGTTGAGATCATTTGATAAACGTTCAATTTCTTCTAATGAAGAAGAACGTAAATTTGTATGGGCATCATTATGTAAAGTTAAAGAAATGTCATGATCTTGCTTAGTGTCATTATTCGATGGCATTATTTTTTATTTTTTTTTTATTTTTATTTTTTACTATATATGTAAATATGCTGTATATATGAAGTATATATATATATACATATATATACAGTGTAATTGCAAAAGAATGTAATAAAAAAATTTTTTATTTTTCTTTTTTTTTTAGGGAATGGGTTTTATATATATATATATAGAATTACGGAATAACCTAATTAAACATAAATTATAAAAATAGAAAACACCAAGAACACCACACCACCATATTTTTAATTCATCTAAAATTTCCCGATGAAAAGATGCTATGTAACATGTGGGCAAGTGATACCGATTACAAATTACGTAATGTACTATGAAATATTTTTTTTACAAAATAAATATTTTGAAGCTTTTAGTGATAACAATGAAAATATATACAAAATTTGAAGAGCTAAAAGCAAAATAAAGTGGATCGACATTTTTATCATTTCCACCAATTAAGATAGCTTCAAATTCTTTGGCGTAATCTCATCTCACTCTAAAATTTTAGATTTTGGTCAATGAAATAACCTTATAAATATTGGAATTGTTAAAAATAAAATAAAAATTGTCACTGTGATAGGGAAAATAATTTATAAGTAATTGCCAATTATATCAAATGTTTCGCTTTCCATCTTTGTTTATGTAAACTTCGGCTAGTAGCGAATTTAACACCGTATCAGCATCCCAATTGTAATCTAGCTATTTATCGGCCAATTAGACTTCTTGTATTCTCAATTACAATGTCTTCCCTTAAAAAATTTATACAAAAAGGAGATTTATCTTCCCTTCGCAACTATTTAAATGCTCTTTCTCTTGAAAATGCACATCATTTAATAAATACTCCGGATAATCATGGAGATACACTCGTGCATTTTGCTGCTCGATATCACAAGAAAGATATTTTATCTTTCTTGATTGAAGATATTGGTGGTATTGTCACGGCAGTCAATAAACATGGTACGAATTAACTACTTTATAATTTTAAAATATTTTGTCGAGAAATTTTTAAACCTTTCCGTGCATAAAGAATACAAATAGGCCGCCAACCACTTCATGAAGCAATTGATAATTTTGAGTGTGTAAAGTATTTATGTGAACAAAATGTTGATATCAATTGTATGAAACGTGGCGATTGGACTCCATTGATGACCGCGTGTAAGTTTTAAAAAAGAATTTTTTGTTTAAAAAAAAAATATATATATAATTTTTTTTTTTTTTTAGCAATGAAAGGTAATCTTAGTATTGTGAAAGAATTAGTTAAACATGGAGTTAATGTAAATTTCCTGAATAAAGATGGTTGGAATAGTCTTCATCTGGCTGCAAAAGAAGGTAAGTCAAATATAACAAAATAAAATAAAAATAAAATAAAATTTCTTAATAATTCAATTACATCTAATTATTTTTTTTTAGGTCATTTAGATATTGTAATATATTTACATGAGATATCGCCTACTTTATCAATTACACCAAGTAAATCAGGAAAACTACCAATTCATACAGCAGCACAATGTAATCATTCCGAAATAGTTTTCCAACTACTTTCATCAACACCTAATGAAGAAACCAAACGATATTTATTAATGTCGACCGATAATGGAGGAACAAATCTTTTGCAAAATTCTGTAACTTGTGGAAATCTACAAATGGTAAAGAGATTAGTCGATGAATATGATGTTAAAATCGATCATAAAGATAAGCTTGGCAGGGAAGCTATTCATCTTGCAGCAATGATCGGAAATGAGGAAATGATAAGATTCTTATTAGAAAGAGGAGCTAACCTTAATGTACAAGATTTTTCGGATAAATTTACTCCATTACATCATGCTGCTAAGGAAGGACATATAAATATAGTCAAATACTTGGTTAATGCGTGTCATGCCAATACTGATATTAAAGATCATCATGAAAGAACTGTAAAAGACGTTGGTAAGTATTTTTTTTTAATAAAAAAAAGGTTTCTAAATATATTAATTAATAAATACATGATCATTTGATTATTTATATTAGCTATTTTATGGAATAGACAAGATATAGCGGACATCTTGAAATAAATGGTATTTTTATTTAAGGATAGGTTACATTATTATTTTCGTCTTTAAATAAATTTATTGGTCTCTTTGTTTGCAAAAATTTACTTATAAGTATCGATGATGTTATACTTTTAATTCATCTTTTGGTTTTTCTTGTATATTTTCTTTGTCATCAACTTTCGGCCACCAATGAGGTATAAAAGGTTTTAACCTCAGATTTTCCCCTTGACCATTATTAATTGTTAGCTCATTTTCTTGAATTATATCTAATTTTAATAATGCTAAAGCTACATTATGGTATGATGTACCAATAGAACCTACTGGTCGTCCCTTTCTATTCAATATATTGATATCACTAGAAGGTGGTGGAAGAACTAGTTTGGAATTACGATCAACTTCCAATGTGATTGGTACGCTATTACCATAATCGAAAATTTTAATTGTTATACACATATATTTTTTAAAATTTATGAATGCTACGAATTCTTACCTTTCACCTTCACGATATAATTGAACGGGCAAAATACGTTTTCTTGTAACTCCAGTATGATATGTTCTAAAAGTAAGTTCTTGACCAATGTAACATCCTTTACGAAAATCAACTAAAAGACAAAATTCCCTTAATATTATTGTAGTAATGAATTATCATTAATCATGAAATTCGACGTACTTCCTCCCATATAATCAAAATTTGATTGTAATGGTAATGCTTCTCCTGGAGGAAAATCATGAACTCCTTCAGGAACTCCATGTAAAATTCTTCTAATAGTATATTCGTTTGATGGTAATTCTGTAAATGAATTTGGTATTGCCGCTATATAGAGATAGATAAATTAATATTAGAACACATCAATTGTTTTCTGAACACTAAGGAAAAAATTTTACGTTTAGTATCAGGCGGTAACACCAGTCTCAAACCCATATTAGGATACCTTTTATCCCTACACCCAATTTCTGCGATTTTTTCTTTTAATACTAAAACACCCGTTTGCAATTTTGTTGCTGAAGGATTAGGTACTTGATTTCTCCACCATAAATTATCTATTTTATCACCCCAAACATTCCAAATCTGATAAAATGATGAAACATCATTGATTTTCACTTTTGATCTTAATATATATTTTTTCATATGTTTTATTATTTCTGGTAAAATACGTGAATCACATTCAACTAAAAATGTTGGATGTGGAAATGATGTTCCCGAATTTTTTGGATGAATAAATGCATCAAACATAACGCGACCCTAAGTGCATATAAAAAAAGAAATTTTTTAGATCAAATTTGTTACATTTTTTTTTTTTATTTTTTTTTTTAAAAAAAAAGATAATTACGATTGGGTTCAAAAATGCTGTATAAAATCCATCCCCACCAGAACTAATCGATGGCATATTATTTGTAATTAATCCTTGTAGATACTTTACAGTATCTTCACCATGTAATTCTAAAAGACCGCGTTCTGGAACTTTTACATAGTGATTAGCTTGGTGAGCTTTATCCTCCTTTTCAATAGTACGAAGTGAAGGTTCTGAAGCAGGAACAGTGCTAATCGAACGGGTTACTTTTTGATAAACGGTATTACATATCAATGGTGTTTGACCTAAGGATATTATTCTTGTACCAAATTCTTTTTAGAACATAGATATATCAGCGGATATATCGCCATTATATCTTAATTAAAATAGTGTGTCTGATCTCTATTATTATACTTACTTGAATTATTTAACGTATTATCTGCTACAAAACTTGTGTTTCGAATAAAGGAATAAAAGGAACACACTTTTAACATGGTCATGGTTTAATAACACTGGTAAAATGTCACGTAATTATATTTATAAATGATTTCGGTGATACGAAAATGTCTACAAATTCGAAAAACGTCATACTATTCTTTACCATTATAAAATATCCTTAATTAAATCTTCTTGAGAGTCTCGTTAAAAATTATTTTGATCTCTCGATTAGAAATATCCGAAATGTTGATAGGTCACAAAACTAGTTTTCTTCATAAGAATCTTTGTTATCCAATATATTCATATCAATTATAATCCGTAATATACTACCAATTTCTAATATTATTACTAATATTCTAGATATAAATTTTTTTTAAAAAATTAAAATATAAATAAATAATTGTTTAAAAATAATTGTAAATGTTTGAAATAATAAACATAATAAACTTATTAAGTAATTTGTATAAAATAATAAAATTTTTCTTAATTTACATAATATAATATTACAAAATAACTTATTATTCTTAATTGTAAATAAATAAGTAATCAAATAATAAAAAAAAAATCTAATCAAGATATATTTATATTATTTATAATTTAGTAATGTTTAAATATTAAATAATAAATTTTATTATAAACTATAATCTTAATCCTTTTTAACTTCAAATTATTTAAAAAAAAAAATAATATAAATCAGATCTTATTATTAATTAAATAAATATCATTACAATTAGTCACTTTTTTGATTAGTAATCAGTTAATAATAATTAATAATTCACAAGTAAAATAATATTAAATTAGATATCTAATCTGATTTAAAAATTTAAAAAGTTATATTTAATAATATCTAATCTGATTATATTAATACTAGTAATAAATCAGCTTAATATCTTATTAATCAACATATTTAATACTTGGTGATAAAATTATTAACAAATATGAATACATCAATTTATTAATAAGTTTGTTAATTTATGATGAATTTTATTAGTATTAATATAACCTTTTTTAATTTTTATTAAATTCAATTAATTTATAAAGAATTTTATTAATAAATTAATAAAAAATATATATCAATTATTAATGAAATTTATTAATTTATAACAAATTTTGCTAATAATTTATAATAAAATTTATCAACAAATTGATAAATCATTTTAAATATAATACACTTTACAAATTTTTTATTTTATAAAATTGTTTTTTATGAAGTTTGTTATTTATCACTAATATTAATTATTTCCAATATTATTTTAATCAATAATAATTGAAGTTTATTATTATCTTACATGAATAATAATATTTAAGAAGGAATGTAACAAATTTTTTTAACAGTGAAATAATTCTAAGTCTCTAGAATATATAATAAAATAAAAATAAGGAGTTGTAATATAAGAATGATAAGTTGTATATAAGTATTTAAATATGTGATACTATTAATGATTACTATCAGTGATATAAAGTAATTTTCTTTTTTTATTATCAAAAAAGAAAATGCTATTTTAAAGTTCTATTAAAATGTATTTTTTAATTTTTACTACTATTAATATTACTTTTAGGACTAGGTATTAATTAAATAGTATTTTAGATCTTATTTAAATAGTACTATAGTTGAACTTCACTATAATGAATTTCTATATTCTAAATTTTTGTCATTGTAAATTTTATGAGTGATTCCAAATTTTATTAAATAAAATAATTGAATATAATAAAATTTTATAATAAAACTTACTATTATATATAATAAATTAAAAATTCTATACCAATTATAATAAATAGGATTTTTATTAACGAATTATTTTATATAATGAATTTTATATTAAATTTAAGAGATACAGTAAACTCTTGATATAACGAATTCTAAGATCTGGATATCAACTTCGTTATAAGCTTATAACGAATTTTTTAA